CCCGAGTCGCCACATCTCGTCTGGGCAGGCCTGCCCGCATTCCCGTGCCTCTGGAGCCGCTTCCCGAAAACGATCCCACTGAAAACGAGAAAGCGCATCAGCCACCACATTTGAGAATCCCGGAATGTGCCTAGCCCTGAATACTAAATTGGAAGACATGCAGAGGAGCACCAAATGCCGCAGTAGGCATAAGACCGGAAGCGAAGATGCCGACAAACTGTTGATTGCCTGCACCACGGCCATATTGTCCGAATAAAACACGACTCGTTTGTTTGCTAATTCAGCTCCCCACAATGCTACCGCAACCACTACAGGGAAGAGTTCCAAAAATGCCAGATTCTTGATCAATGGGCTCACCCTCCATGCTTCGGGCCATGCCTCGGCACACCACCGTCCCGCAAAATAAGCCCCGAACCCCACGCTGCCCGAAGCGTCCGTAAACAGCCCCACTGCTTCCGAAGACACCACTTGCTCCCGAAAAAAGGCCTTGCCATTGAAGTCCCTCAAAAAACGATCCCACACCTCTAAGTCCGCCTTCATGTCCGCGGAAACCCTGATATAGTGTGACGGCATCCGTATCCCGCTCGTCGCCCGCGCCAATCGTCTACAGAAAACCCTCCCCATGGGTATGACCCTGCACGCAAAGTTCAGGCTCCCTACCAGAGACTGTAATCCCCTCAGCGTCACCTTCCGTGCTCTCCCAATTGTGTGCACCAAATCTTTCAGTTTGTGCAACTTGTCCTGTGGTAATCTACATTCCCCGATCTCCGAATCGATCTCCAAACCCAGAAAACTAAGACACGTGGCGGGTCCCACGGTCTTGTCCTCCGCCAAAGGAACCCCCATCGTCTGCGCTACCCATTGGAACACCCGTAGTATCTGCTTGCACCGGTCTGAGCCTCGAGGGCCGACACATAAGAAGTCGTCCAGGTAATGCACAACCGTGCCCCCCTCCGATTCCCGTCGCACTACCCATTCCAGAAAAGTGCTAAACTTCTCGAAATAGGCGCACGAGATGGAACAACCCATCGGCAAGCACAGATCCACAAAGAAGCCCCCTTCAAAACAACACCCCAAGAGGTGATGACATGACGGGTGTATGGGAAGCAGCCGAAACGCTGCCTCCACGTCCACCTTCGCCATCAGCGCTCCCCGCCCAGCTCTCCGTACCAACTCGACTGCCCTGTCGAATGATGTGTAAGATACTGAACAGAGTGCTGCGTCGATGTCATCATTCACCGATGACCCTTTAGGATACGATAAGTGATGAATCAACCTGAATTTGCCAGCCTCTTTTTTGGGGACCACTCCAAGTGGGGATATCCGCAACTCCGCTATAGGAGGATACGGGAACGGCCCCGCCATCCTCCCCAAAAGGACCTCTTTGGCCAGCTTTTCCCGCACTACCTCCGGGCGTTCCCGCACCGATTTAAGATTGGCACAAACCGCCCCTGGTTCCTTAACCGTGAAGGGGATCATGAAGCCCTCCCTAAAACCCCGCCACAGGAACGCTGCATCCTCCTGGTTAGCGTATTGCCTTAGCCAAGGCAACATCGCGCCTAACCTCACTGGGGACGCCCCCAGTTGCAGCCGAGGTGGCCGCCACCCCTGCGGTTCCACCCCCTGCATTGAGCTTACCTTTCTTGAATCATCTGCTGGCGCCATGATTCCCTCCGCAGCCCGAACACTCGTGCCTAAATCGGCATGAAGTACCCCACTTGCATTGACCCTCGTTGTACGTCCAGCACAGGCCCTTCTTTTGTCCCGCTGGCACAGCCACGCCTGAGGCTGTCCCAGCTGCCCCGAGAAAGGGCGCAGCCTTCTGCGCCATCATAATCCTCATCCATAGCGGCAGGTCCATTTGGTCCCACCGCATGGTAGGGTTGGCCGCCAAGCGTTGCCGAAACTGCTCATCATATTTCCACCACGCTAGGCCCCCATACGTCCGATACGCATCGCCTATCCCATCCAAGTAGCAGAACAGTTGCGAACAGCTCCCTGGCCTTTTTTCCCCTATCACACTAGCCAGGATGCAGAACGCCCTCAGCCAATTCCCAAAAGTCTTCGGTATCTTGCGATACCTCCGCCTTTTTTCTTCTTCCTCCTTCTTGGCGTCCTTCTTATCCTCCTCCTTCAAGTCTAGGAATTCCTCCAAAGGGAGCAAGGAAAAAATTTCCATGAACTCCCCCTTCCAAATCTTTTCTTTGACCTCTAATTTCAGGTGACAACCTAGGGGGCCCGCAAAAGATACGTGTACGTTTTGACGTGCCGCGTCCGAAATGTCGCCACACCCGACCGCCGACTCAGCCCCCCCATCCGCCGCACCGGACGCCACTACCGCTTCGCTTGCCTCGCCACCGCTCGCCGGTTGGACCCCCGCCCCTATTGCCTTAACCGCCGTGTCAGGGGACCATACCTTTCCGAACTGCAATGGTGATTCCCCCTTCCCTGACCATGCCTCCAATAGTGTTTTTAAATAGCCCAATAACTGTCCGGAGTGTTGTGCAGATATGGACTCACCGTTGGAGACCCCGGCCGTGCCAGGCCCCGGGGTTGCCGACCTTCCGTCCACCCGTTCAGGCTCCGGAGCATCCGGTTGACGCCGACTCCCATCCGCCTGATCCCTCCTCAGGACCGTAGGGGTAGCGCTCCGCGACCTGTAAGGAGAAGACAACCTGGGTAGTCTGTACTGCTGGGCCCCTACCCGTCCTTCCTCCCTACGCTCTTTTCCGCAGTTCCAAGCTTCGCACCGCCTTGTCGGCCTAACTTCCCTGCTCCTGGGGGCCCGCTGCTGTCCTAGCGCACTGTCACCCGAGGACCCAGATGCGCTGCGCCGCCTCCGCCCCCGCCCGTCCTTGGAAGCGGACCTCCTTCTCCCCGCCCTGCAGCTGGTCCTGGAACCACTGCGCCTGCTATGCGATGGACTCCTGTCCCTGCTCCACTGCCGATCAGCTGACCTCCTGCTGCTGCTGGGCCTGGCGCTACCGCTGCGCCGCTCCCGTCTGTACTCCTCCCGCTCCCTGGTCCCGCTGCGGTGCCCCCCGTGAGAGCAGCCTGAGGGGCCCAACCTTCCACTGCTACTGCTCCTGACTTCCCTATCCCGCGCTGTACTGCGTGTGTCCCCCTTCTCCGCTGTACCTGGCCATCTGTTGGCCGCTGCGCCTGGCTCAGATGCCCCTTGCACCCCCTGGCAGCCCGCTGGAACCTCTGCCGCTCCCTGTCCGATCCTGTTGTCTTCCTGCCGCCCCTCCTCCCTATGCCTGGCACTGTCGCCCGTCCCGGCCACACCTAAGGCCGCCCGCGAGCTGGTCCCGCTGACCAGGCCACCCCTGGGTTGCTGGGGGGCCGCCTGCGCTGGAACATCCCGCGTCCCGCCCGCCCCCTGCCCCTCAGTGACCAGAGTGGACTCACCGGGACGCCTCATTGAAGTGCTGCCGACCACGTGTTCCTCCGCTCTCCCGGCCGCCATTCCCGCCGTGCTGGAGCCCTCCTCTGGGGTACCTGTGCTGCCTGCCGCCATCTTGGGTGGGGCGCGTTTACCAGCAGGCCCGCGCTTTGCGGCCGTCCTCGCCTGACCGGCACCGCGGCGCACAGGCGGCGCCGGCCGCTTCCCGGTGCTGTCCGACCCTCTTGCCTCCTGGCTGGGTGCCGACGGGCTCCTCCGCCGCCGTGGAGCGGGCGCCATGCCCGGACTCAAGCGCTGGGGCGGCCGTGCTCTTCGCGCCGTCCTGCGCTCCGCTGGTGCTGGAGGGGGAACTGCAGCCCCCAGTTGTTCATGCAGCCAGGCCAGCCCTCGGTCCTTCACTGCTGCTCTCACTCCGGCCAGGATCTCATCTAGGGACGCCATGGACCTGCAGCAAAAGAAAAAAGAAAAACCCCACAGACCTGACACAACTAACAGGTAAGTGAAGTTCTGATTAAAATGGCCACTCTCTAAGATGGCCGTTATTTTAACCCCCTTTAATCCCGCCCCCAAGCTCCATTAGCTTAAGCCAACCCCTAACTGAATGCACCTGCCCACTCCTGGCTCTGTCAAGGCCCACTCCCCTTACTTCGTTGCTCCATGGGCTTCAATAGAGTTAGTTTGAAAGAACTGAGCACTCTAACCTGGGATTTGTGGATTTTTATACTGGTTGTCACAGAAATTACGTGGTACATCATAACCTCTGTAGCAACGCTCAATTCTTGTTGATAGAATGACCCAATGAATGTGCAAGACCCTTAGGAGGCAGGCAAATCTAGATGGATAAGGAACACGTGAGAGTGTGGGGAGTGGTGGTAGAAATTAGGAGGAGGTTCAGTAAACTGGGGGAAAATGGTATAGGCTAGGGGTTGGGTCATATATGTAGGCAGGCATTTCCTACCCCCTGTCAGCTATCTTAAAATATCTGGCTAGGTAACAGCTTCCCTCCCTCCCTGATTTCTTTTGGTTTGTTTTTTTTAGTTTTCACTTTCTTTTCTTGTCGCAGCAGGCGAATGGGTCCTTGCCAACCAGGGTTGGACCAGGTGTCCATGGAAAGATAATGTGCAGGGCCCATTCCTCCCCTAAACACTGAGATAACATCTGGCTAGTGGTTAGCATTATATTACCATAAGGCCAGGTTTGAGGACAGTTGGTGGTTAGAACGAGGGGGGAGGATAGGTGCCTAAGATGAGTTGGGATTGGTTGGTAAGGTCTATTCTGGCTTTTATAAATATTTATTCTTTATATTAATATGTTATGATATTATTGGTTAATTTAATAAGGCTGTGACCTGTTTTACTTCAATCTATGTTTGAGTTGCATCATTGGGGTTAGGCAGGGATCTTGGGAGAGGGTGGTGGAGGGTTTATACATGGTCCCCACTACCTTCGCACATGTTCTATCTCATATGTTGGCATTGTCTGTAAACTTTGGATTTCATTGAAAACACTCATGTAATGTCAGCAAAAAAAAGAAAGAAAATATTTTTGATCAAATACCAGTTCTAGATTGTGATTAATGCCTTTGGTGGAATGACTAGCAGAAAAGCAGTTGAGATATTTTTTGGGGGGTTGGCCCGCCATGCGAGATAGGCTCCTGAGGGTTCCGGCTTCTCAGACTGACAGTGGTGGCTCACACAGCTACTCTGAGCTTGGAAACTACAAGCGGCTGTTGGTGATGCTGCGGAGTGGACGGCCGCTGCCCTGCTTGCTTCCCCAGTGATCCCATGACAGCACTCTGTCACTCTTGCTAGTTCCATTCCCCATTCCCTGTGGACCGAGGGGGGTCATACTGGTCCCCACTGGCTGGATCCGACACTGAATAAATGGAACCTTTAAAGCTTACACTGTACTTGGATTCCTGCACTCTGAAGGCAAGGTGGCTGCCAATCATGATCTTCTGAGACTCTCCACACTGTTTCTCATGCAGCTTTACAGAGTTAGCTGATCCTGGGCCATGGGCCATGGACCATGCTGATGTACTGCACTACACTCAGGATCACAACATCCCAGCAGTCACAGGAGAGCTGTCGGCTTCTTACAATACCCGGCAATCAAGTCTGTTCTCTGAAGTTTGAATTCATCGGGCTATCTTATAGGCTGGCATTTGCACATATAGACAAGCCTTTGACAAACTTTGATCTATACGGTGCATTTGTCAACTCATAGTAACATACTTTTTGTGCAATAACCAATTAAAACTGCATTAAAAATTGAGCGAGGCATCCTGGTTCAGAAGATCTGTACATCTATAAGATTTATACGGTTGAGAACATTTTGGAAACTAAATATAAAGACATTAAATATATACAGTGCAAGAAATGATTCTATTAATCAAAGTTATATACTGTATAAGAGCAAATTATGTTGTTATTTTATATTAATGGAAAGGATTCCATGTCTTCTTCCATTGTCCTCTTCGTTAATGTAATCTGTGATATGATATTCATTAAAGGAACACTATAGTCACCTAAATTACTTTAGCTAAATAAAGCAGTTTTAGTGTATAGATCATTCCCCTGCAATTTCACTGCTCAATTCACTGTCATTTAGGAGTTAAATCACTTTGTTTCTGTTTATGCAGCCCTAGCCACACCTCCCCTGGCTATGACTGACAGAGCCTGCATGAAAAAAAAACTGGTTTCACTTTCAAACAGATGTAATTTACCTTAAATAATTGTATCTCAATCTCTAAATTGAACTTTAATCACATACAGGAGGCTCTTGCAGGGTCTAGCAAGCTATTAACATAGCAGGGGATAAGAAAATCTTAATTAAACAGAACTTGCAATAAAGAAAGCCTAAATAGGGCTCTCTTTACAGGAAGTGTTTATGGAAGGCTGTGCAAGTCACATGCAGGGAGGTGTGACAATGGTTCATAAACAAAGGGATTTAACTCCTAAATGGCAGAGGATTGAGCAGTGAGGCTGCAGGGGCATGTTCTATAGACCAAAACTGCTTCATTAAGCTAAAGTTGTTCAGGTGACTATAGTGTCCCTTTAATGCAGTCACAATCACATATTCTCAGCTTGTACTCTAATATTGTAGACAAAACGTACATAATTACCAGATACAATAGTACAGCGGTAGGTAACTTTCGGCACTCCAAGTGTTGTGGACAACATATCCCATAATGCTCTTACAGCCATAATACTGGAAAAGCATCAGGAAAGATGTAGTCTACAATATCTGGAGTTCCAAAAGTTGCTCATCCATAAACTAGTATATGATCACCGTTAAACAAGCACACAACAGGTAATAATGGGCCTAATAAAGGGCATAAAAAAGGACAAAATGTTAGGTAAGTCCATTACTAATCAATACATAATTACACATAAGATAAACAATACATTTTTTTAAATGTTTTTTAGCTGAAAATAAATTATAGAGATTTGACATACCAAAACAGCTGTATAGCTCTTTAATGAGTTATCACTCTGGGACCAGATAGAGGACTGAAGGTATGTTCAATATACCTAGAATAAATGGGATGGGTTCACTAAGGAGTGATTAGAGATTAGAAAGAGCTTTGCCGTTTTCAGAAATCTCATGTTATTCTTGATGATACAGCTTATCCACAAAGTGTAATCAAGATATTTAAAGTCATCATATTTCACTAATAAGCAGCCCTGATGCCAGTTCCTAAAGTTCTATGTTCTTGTTTTTCACATAGAGGCTGTCTAATGTGTTTAATGATTTTTAAAACTACTTAAACCATTTTACATATATTAGGCAGATAATCAAATCATCTTTGGCCTGCAATCATTAAATGAGCACTTTACCTTATAAATGCCTTACAAAGTATTCCAGTTATATCCAGCCTAATGTTTGTATATAAAAAAAAAATCTCAAAACACATTTTGTTGCTATGAAGGTATGGTTGAGATAGTTTATTGCTTTGATAATGTGTTGATGATCTTTGCCTGTTTGTTTCACATTCCCAATTTAAAAAAAAAAAATAGCAGAACATGACATACTAGAGTGTTGTGGATAAATGTGTTCTAGTGTAATGAGGTGTGTACTGTTTTGTGTATGCCAGAAATTAAGGTAGAAATTCCTTGGCAGATATCTAATCACAAATACCAGAATGCTCACATAGTAATGCTTGGCTCCAAAAAAGAGAAAGGCTAACAGCAACTCCACCAGTTTGACCCTGCATATACCTGTCACAGCACTAACCTAACCAGCAATTAACAGCCTGTAATAACCTGCATATTCGACTATTTGAGGGCAAAATGATGGTCTGGCCAATCTGGTCTGGCACTCCCTCGCAGTGTCTCTCCACGAGGTGACGTGCCCTTTACATTCACTATTCCAGTATGGATATCTGCACATTTTCTGAAACATCTGCAGAAACATTTTTCCAGTATGCCAAGACTTGAAACTTGATGTCTATAATTGATTAATATCCTAATCATGGCCCACTGTTTCCTTTGGTGGTGGCTGGTGTGCATTCAAGCAGTGAAAGACTCAAAATAGTATTCTTTTTTAAAAATTCCATTGTTCCACTGAGCACGGATTCATTCCACGTAAAGTGCATGATGTGTTGTTAATACCTGACTATTTCTTAATTGTTCTAGTGCAAGACTCCTCATATAAAAGGAGCCGCTGCACATAAACTGCCTACTGTTTTATCTATCTACGTGTAACCTTTAATGAACTACCTGCAATCCTAAACACATGCTAATAGCCACACATACATTACCCAATGTGCTATACATTTATTCACTACTCCACATGCACTGTCTACTATACTTGCCATTCCCTTCTAAGCCCAAACTCATCATATTGTATTATACACATATTAATAGCACCACATACAGTACTTACTGTCATAATGAGCCTCTAAGACACTGCCTACTGTACTAAATACTCCACATCCAGTACTCCCCATAGCACACATGATTTACTTGTGAGCACACGTGACATCACTACTTGCTGCACAAGCCACATTCTGATTTAGTAAAAAAGTGTGTTTATTTCATACTCACAGCCTCTAATCACGCATAACCGATGGCCAGTTAGTGTCTCCCTTACATTGTCTCCAGCGTTCCTGCGGTGTCTTCAGGCCAGAGTTCTAACTCATCACATGACATCTAGGAATTGGCGTCAAGATACCTATTTTATGTTTGCTGGCACGTTTCAGCATCAAATAAGTATCTGGGACTGCATGCAAATGTTGAAATGACACCAATGCTCCCAGGGGCACTTAGGGATGCCATGGTTACTCTATCTATATATTTTGGCAATGCAGCTAGTCCCATCGTCACACATTTGTGTTAGGCCTAAGCCAGCATACAATAAAGTATATTTCCGCTGGAGCTGGTGCCTCGTTGTTTTGTTGTCTCTATATCTAAATCCCAGAATTATTTTCCTGTGCTTGTTATCTTTTAATAATTATTTTGTTTTTATGCCCATTTAATCTCTTTCTTATTCCGAATATGGAATGCTGGATTTGAGAGCAACCGCCTGACTTATCAAATCTGACTACCTGCCCTGCTCTTCCGAAGAGTCTAAGCACCTTCCCCTTTATTACATTAGTTTCCTCAGACTACCCTTTTCCTTGATCTCTGGTGGTTCCAGTTTCCTCAGTCCTAATTTGTGTTTATACTGTGTTCCTCTTAACAGTTATTACAGATGCTGAAAGGAATGTTATACATTTACCTTTAGAAACAGGTGTGCGTTAGGGTTTTCTCTTACATATCGAGTTAGTTTAGATGAGATTAAGCTCATCTTTACCTGGGAATGACTTGCAATAGGAATTTACTCAACTCCCCAATTTCTCTATTATGTCTGCCTCTTTGTGTGAGTTGTCGCTGATAGGCATGACTGTGGCCAGGCCTAAAATGATGAGTTAGTGGAAGGTGATACTGGTACTGATACGACCAGCAAGGTTAAACCGATACATTCTCTGTTGAGCCACTTAGCAAGTAATCCCCATGAGAAGGACTTTCTGCAGATGCCTCGCTTTAGGGCCATTGCTAGGAAAAAACTTGTATAAATATTGTCTTCTCTGTTGAGTTGTTTACATTTTGGATATCATTTTTTTTTAATTTTTGAATATTAATGACACATTTAATACATAATTGTCCATTTTATGGAATCATCAATGCAGACATACTTTTATTGAAAATCATGTTTTCATCTGAGCACAGTGGACAGTATTATAGCCTAGTTCTCTGCCTGTACTCACTGTCTTTTTTGCTAGTCTAGTAACTGCACTTATCTCTGCTCATTTTATGCCTCTCCACAATATGCTATAGAATAGAGTGAGAACAAATCCCACAATCCGCTGGTTTAACTATCATCATTTCCATGTACATAATGCCATATTTACCACCAGTCAGTGATATAAATATTGCAGTAACGGCTGTTGCAGACTATGTGCCCGAATTGTAATTTCTCAGAGAAGAGATTCTTTTTCTTTTTCTCTCTTGGCAACAGGTAAACACCAATTTTCTTCTTTGTTCTCCAAGGTCAATTTGTTCATGACAAAAAGCAAAGTCCATTTTCTCTCGGCTTCTAAAAGCACTGTTTCCATGGAAACCTTAGAACTCAGACAGACTCAAATATGTGATGTAGTAAAACTTCCCATTTTCTCCTGTAGGGCTCATTGTCCGGTCCTTCCACCGTGAAATCACAAGTATAAAAGGAATCCTTGCAATTATGGCTTCAACTTTCTCTGGAAATAAATAGATGTAACCATA